GGCTGAGAACCACTGGGACCTTAAGCTAGTTAGTCTTCTTTGGTCAGAGCTATCTTGCTAATTTATCCCGGTATGCTTCATACATATTGTTGTTATTGTTGTTGTTATGTGCCTTCGAGTCAGTTCTGACTCACAGTGGCCCTGTGTAGGATTTCTGAGATTATAATCTTTGCAGGAACAGAAGAAAGCCTCATCTTTTTTTCTAAGGAGCAGGAGCAGCAGGTGGACCTGAACCATTGGCTTTGTGGTCCTCTGTCCAGAGCTTATCCTACAGAACCACCACATTTCCTTCATGAGTATTACTTGCTTTTAAATTTACCATATAATAAAAAAACCATGAAAATATGAGTATAAAGGAAGCAGGATATGACCATTTAGAAATAGTATATAGTAGTGTTAGTTATCAAATTGATGGTTTAAGGATCTTTTGATACTCTTTAAAATAATTGAGGAATCCAAAAAGCTTTTGCTGGCATGATTTTTTTTTTTTTTTTTTTTAAGTTTTTATTGTGAGTTGGGTGATAGTTTACATGGGAGAACATCAGCTTTACATTTATCTTATCATATTCTGTTTCACTGCAATTATTACAATCCTCTCCATGCATCAATGCATCATCATTCAACAGCATTTGCTTCCATTCCCTCAGTTTTTTTTTTTTTTTTTTAATGTACACCGAAGCACTCAGGATACACAACCATTCAAGCAACTAAAAGACATACCCTGCAAGCCTGCCCCCTGCCGTCAGGACTCAGCCCCTCTCCCTCCCTGAGTCTAGTGTCCCCAGCTGCTCCATCTCTCCATGTCATTATCTGTGCCTCTTATCTTTGGTGTCACTGCTTGTCTGGATAGAGTCTGGCACTCCGCTCTTCTTCCTTGATGGTCCCAGGGTCCTCTGGTCCTGGACTGCCAGATGAACCACTCCCCTCCTTTTGTTACAAAACGTCTACTGATTGCAATGCTCGCAATTAGTCCTGATGGCAGTTATTCACTATTGAACCATAAGAGTTTTATCCCCATCTGCTTTCTTTCATCTGCCCTGTCTGAACAGGTTGGAAACCACTCAGTGGAGATTCTACCTTCCCCTGCATCCTCTGAAACTAGGCCTATAAGCCAGTCACTTCATGCCTTTGTAGTCCCCCCCATTTTGGGTAGCCAATGTCTGAGTTGCTCAACCCTGTGTACTGAGGGGGTGGGAATGAGCTTCGCTGTAAAGATTCACTCCTTTTGAGCTACTACATCCATAAGTATAGATCAAGTTAATCAAATTGTAGCAGATTACTCTTTTTTTTCTTTTTTCTTCCTCTAGTCGACTTCTCATCATCCAGCTATTGAAGCCAAGTCAAATGGGTGCTCTTTGCAAGTATGGATGTTCTTGTGCATCTCCCCTCACTTCATATCAGCTGGACACTTCTGTCTCCATTCTAATCCTCTGTGACCTTGTCCCTGTCCCTGGGTCCTGGAGCCTCCAGGTCTCGTCATACTGCTGGTCAACCAGGTTTCAATCCAGGTGAACAAGAAATCGGTTGAACGTAGTCGGACTCAGCTCACAACTTCATTGCTGTTTCCCCCGCTTCCCCTTATCAGTAGAACAGTGTGGTCACCAGCAAGACCACATGCCTGCTCATGTATTCCCCTTGAGTGTCAGTGTTGGAAGGGGGTTTGCCCTGAGGGGACCCGGCTGCTAACCTTGATCTCTCTCCAGCGAACAACTTGCGTGTTCTTGTGGTAATCAATCAGACTGCTGTATGTGGATGGGTTAATTTCTGGATTCTTGATTCTGTTCCATTGATCTATGTATCTTTCATTGTACCAATACCAAGCTGTTTTGACCACTGTAGCTGTGTAATAAATTTTGAAATCAGGGAGTGAGAAGCTTCCAACTTTATTCTTCTTCTTAAGTAGTGCTTTGCTTATCCTTGCATCTCTTTCCTTTCCATATAAAGTTTGTAATTGTTTTTTTCATCTCTTTGAAAAATGTCATTGGAGTTTGTATCGGGATTGCATTATATGTGTGGATTGCTTTGGGCAGGAAGCTCATGAGTTTTATATTCCATAAATCATTGCAGTGAATACAATCCATTCCATGCACTATCAGCTAACAATATTTACAATATTTATTTATTTATTCATTCATTCATTCAATGTACCCATGCCACATTGAAAATATATATTCATTTAACTGTCTGTTTCTCCTTCCCACATCTATTCAGCTTAGTTATCTTTGCATTCACTTGTAGATTATTGTTTTTGTAAGAGTGTGTATATAATAGTATCTACCTTTGTTCCTTATAATGCTTGTGCTTTTCTGTCTTCCTTTGCTTCATTTTTTGTGGTACTCTTTGATCTTCATTAGTAAGTGCTTTAAGTCTTCTTTGCTTTCAGCAAGCAAAATTGTGACTTTTACATATTACAGGTTGCTAATGAGCCCTCTTCCAAGCCTGATGTTACATTCTTTTTCGTGTAGTCCAGCTTCTCGTATTAATTGCACAGCATACAGATTGAATCTGTATGATGAAAAGATATATCTGACACACATTTTTCCATATTTTAAACTATACTGTATCCCCTATTAGAATGACTCCATCTTGTTCTATATACAAGTTCCTCATTAAATGTAATAAAATTCTTATTTTTCAATTAAGTCCTTGTGTGGCGCTGCAGGAGAAGCACTTGACTGCCAATCATAAGTGGCCAGTTCAAAACCAGTAAGCACTCGTTGGTAACCCTGTATAGGCTTGCGCAGAGTTGGAACTGACTTGATGGCCCTTAACAACAATACTCATATTCTGATGTATGTAGTTGAATGTCTTTGCATAGTGAATGAAACACACTAGACATCTTACTGGTATTCTGTGCTTTCAGCCTGGCTCTCTAGCTGATACATCTTCTGACTTTGGCTTGAATTTCTGTTGTACTGTTGTAGTTGTTTTTGAATAATATTTAGCAAAATTTTACTTGCTTATGATATTAATGATATTGTTAGGTAATTTCTGCATTCTATTAGATTACCTTTCTTTGAAATGTGCAGAAGTATAGATTTCTTTTCAGTTGCATGACAAGTTACTGTCTTTCAGATTTCCTGGCATACACAAATGAGTACTTCCTCCACTGCATCGATTTGTTTAAACGTTTCAGTTTGTATTTCATCAGTTTATGGGGCCAAAGCCTAGGCTGTAAGTGCAGCTTCAGTGCCATAGGATCTTCATAATATGCTATCTCCTGAAATGATTGAACGTTGACCAGTTTTGGTACAGTGACTCATATGTTCCTTCCATCTTTGATGCTTACTGCATTGTTCAATAATTTGTTCATAGAATCCTTCAGTATTTCAAGTCAAGATTTGAATCTTCAGGTCTTTAGTGCTCAGTGGATTTTTTCCTTTTGATTTTTCTTACTCCAGGTCTTTGCACATTGCATTACAACCTTTACTTTGTCTTTTTGAGCTGCCCTTTGAAATTTTTCATTTAGCTCTTTTACCATTTCTTCCTTTCACTTTAGCTCTTTTTGTCCTGTAGCAGTTATTTCTTGTATCTAGGCAGTCCCTGGATAATGGTATTGATCCAGCCTACTTTTTAAATAATTTGTAGGTCAGTCAGAACAGGCGCATAAAGTTCTTATTTAGTCTTAATGTTAGTGTAGAAATAAGCTGTAAGAGTTTCAGTTGCTTAACAAAAGTGAAAGTGATTGTGGTGTAAAATTTGTTGGGAGTAGGGTTTTGTTTGATCATTTCAAAATGAAGGCAAATTTGCATAATGTTAAAGTGAGCTTTTAAAGATGGCAGTGCCCTGCTCAGAGATGGCTTTCTGCTGAGAGTGACATTTAATGTGTGTGGCTGTTGACTGCCTGTAATTCAGTCTCATGCATCAGGCTCCTGAATGGGCTCCCATGTCTCTTCCAAGTCTCCCATTCCTGGGTTTCTATCTGTAATTTCTCTAATCCCAGTTGCCTTGACAAATCATCAAATTGTAACATGTCCTATTTATTCCTGTTTGGTTTCATAGACTGTGATAGAACCAGTTTGAAGCCCTGAATTATTGGGCAAGAAGTTGTATATAAATCTGATGTTCTTAACCCAGTGACTGCCTGTTGTTATGTGATTGAACCACTCTGAATCCTGAAAGTCGTTCTTTGTCTATAGAGTGGACTTAATTTTTGACAAGCTCGCCGCATTTAATGTACATAGAGAATTTTTATTAAGCGCCATAAAACATTCAAAACACCGTTTTCAATATTAGAAAGCATTTACAATACATGTAATGATTTTAGCATGTGATCATGATTCGCTGAGCCTGATGTGGCACTGTAGGATAAGCACTGGACTGAAAGGTCAGTTTGAACTGCAAGATCAGTGGTTCAAATTCACCAGTTGCACCTTGGAAGCCCTATACTGGTTGCTGAGTTGAAATGAATGGACAGCAGCACTTAACAACAACAACAACAACAACATGATTCACTAAAACATTGTAAAGATTGTTTGAGATAAAATGGCACCTGTCACCTAGCTGTTGTTGGTAAGTGCCCTATAGTTGGTTCATAGTAAGTGGTCAGAAAAATATGTGCACCTTCAAAAGGTTCATAGAAAAATCCTATTAACCTTTTAATTCTATTTTTCCACAAATTTTTGAAGACCCCCCTTTAGTACTCTGGGGTCAAATTTGAAAAATCAAGAATATTATTTTGAAAAGCAAATTAATTTTAGAAACTAAGTATATAAGGATTTGTTATTTTAGTATTTAGTTTTACAAATAAATTATATATACTAGTTATAGAAATTGGACCACGTTGGACCATGTTGTAAAAATATGTCACCTTTTATAAACTGGAAAGATCCTTTGCAATCTGAATTGTTTTCTTTCTCTCCTAAATTACATTTTTCTTGAATTTTTTTGTATCATCAGTTTCGTTTCACACCTCTGCTAATTAGAGTTTTTATAACTTGACATAATTTAATTTTTAAGTAACTATTTGTTGTATGTTTTTTATTTTTTCTGTCTCTAAGTTATTTGAACTGCTGGGGCCCGAAGGACTTGAACTTATTGAAAAGCTCCTCCAGAACAGAATTATGATTGTGGACAGATTTCTTAATTCCTCAAGTGATCACAAGTTGCACGCTCTGCAAGGTAAGAAAGTATATAGTAGTGATTCTGATTTAAAGGAAAAACTTTGTCAGTGAATCTTCTTAAAATAATTACACTTTATATATCCTTTTGTCTATTATCTAATTTACTGATACTATCATTATATAAATGTCTTGGATATCACTCAAAGACAATTAACAACTGTGTGTGTCTGTGTGTGTATACATATGTGTTGTGTGTATGCTTGTAAAAGTGTCGTCGTAGCAGTTCCAATGCTTAGCGACCCTATATAGGGATTCTGAGGAGCAAATGGTGATTTTGAATAGCTGACTCAACCTTGTGGTCTAGCGCTTTATCCTATAGTACCACACCAGGACTTCCTATATACATATATGTAGTTTTTAAAAAACCTACCAGCTACTCCTTGGAAACTGTTGTTGTTGTTGATAGGTGCCATTGAATTGATACTGACTCATTGCAACCCTGTCACTACAGAACGAAACACTGTCCAGTCCTGGGCCAACCTTACAATTGTTGCCACACTTCAGCCTGTTGATGCTGCCACTTGGCCAATCCATCTCACTGGCGTTGTTCCTCTTTTTTTCTGACCCTCCACCTTACCAAACATGATATCCTTCTCCAGAGACTGGTCCCTTCTGACAATATATCCGAAGTATGAGAGACGAAGTTTGGCCATCCTGGCCTTCAAGGAGCATTCTGGCTGCACTTCTTCCAACACAGATGTGTTGATTCTTTTGGTAGCCCATGGCACTTTCAATATTCTCCTCCAACACCATAACTCAAAAAGTATCAATTCTTCCATGGTCTTCCTTATTCACTGGCCAACTTTCGCATGCGTGTGGGGTTATTGAAAGTACCACTGTTTGTGTCAGGTACACCTTAGTCCTCAATCTGACATCTTTGCTCTTCAACACTTTATAAAGATCTTGTGCAGCAGATTTGCCTAATGCGATACGTCCATTTGATTTTTCTTGACTGCTGCTTCCATGAGTGTTGACGATTGAGCCTAGCGAAATGAAGTCTCAGTTTCTTGTGGAAACTGTACAGGGTTGCTAAGAATCGAATCTGATTCCATGGCACTTAACAGCATGTAACACACATTTGTAAAGAGCTTAAATGCTACTTCTTTAGCCCACAGTAAGTAATATATATGTATGTGTGTGTACATATAGTGTTAGGTGCTATTGAGCTGGTGTCAACTCATAGCAACCCTTTGCACAACAGAATGATACACTGTCTGGTCCTTTGCCAACCTCAGAGTCATTGCTATGTCTGACCCCATTGCTGCTGTTACTGTGTCAGTCCATCTCGTTGGGGGTCTTTCTCTTTTTCTCTGACCCTCCACTTTACCAAACATGATATCCTTCTCCAGGGACTGGTGCCTCCTGATAATATGTCTGAAGTATGGGAGACAAAGTCTGACCATCTTTTCTTCCAAAGAACATTCTGGATGTACTTTTTCCAACACAGATTGGTTTTTTCTTTTGGCAGTCGATGGTACTTTTTATATTCTCCTCGAACATCATGACTCAAGTGCATTAATTCTTCTACAGTCTTTTTATTTGCTGTCCAACTTTCACGTGCATATGAGGTTATTGAAAATATCACAGCTTAGGCCCAAGTACACCTTAGTCTTCAAACTGACATTTTAGCTCTTGAAGACTTTATAGAGGTCTTGTGCGGCCGATTTGCTTAATGCAGTACATCATTTGATTTCTAGACTGCTGCTTCCCATGAGTGTTTATGGTTGATCATAGCAAAATGAAGTCTTCTACAGTTTCAGTCTTTTCCTTTTATAGGGATGTTGTTTATAGGTCAAGTGGTGAGGATTTTTGTTTTATTTGCATTGAGGTGCAACCCATAGCCAAGGCTGTAGTCTTCATTTTCAGCAAGTAAGACTGTATCATCTGCATATCGCAGATTGTTAATGAGTCTTCTTGCAATCCTGATGCGATGTTTTTCTTCATATAATCCAGCTCCTTGGATTATTTGCTCAGTTTACATATTGAATAAGTTTGATGAACGTATATAACTCTAGTGCACACCTTTTCTAATTTTAAACCATACAGTGTTCCCTTGTTCTGTTCAAACAACTGCCTCTTGTTCTATATACAGGTTCCTTGTGAGCAATGCTATCTGTAGCTTGTCATGATCCAAACAATCAAAAACTTTTGCATAGTCATTAAAGCACAGATATACATCTTTCTGGTATTCTCTGCTTTCACAAGATTCATCTGATGTAGCAATGATATCCACATCATTTTCTGAATGCGGCTTGAACCTCTGGAAATTCTCTGTCAACATACAGTTGCAGCTGTTTCTGTATTACCTTTACCAAATTTTTACTTTCATGTGATATTAATGATGCTGTCTGGTGTTTTCCACACTGCATTGTGCCACCTTCTCTTTGTAATGGGAACAAATATGATTCTCTTTTTTCAGTCAGTTGGCCAGGTAGTTGTCTTCCACACCTCTTGGCATAGACAAGTGAGTATGTCCAGTACTGCATCAGTTTGCTGAAAGATTTCAACAATTTCCGGTGCCTTATACTTTGGCAATGCCTTCGGTGCACATTAGACTTCTTCCTTCAATATCACTGACTTTTGACCATATGCTAACCTCTTGAAATGGTTGAGCACAGACCATTTGGTTTTGATACAATGGCTTTGTGTATTCCGTCCATCTTCTTTTGATGCTTTCTGTATCATTCAATATTTTACCCATAGAATTCGTCAGTATTGCAAGTTGAGGCTTAAATTTTTTTCTTCATTTCTTTCAACTTGAGAAATGCTGAGTGTGTTCTTCCTTTTTGGTTTTCTAACCGTAGGTCTTTGCACAATTCGTTACAATACTTGACTTTGTCTTCTTGAGCTAACCTTTGAAATTTTTTCTTTAGCTCTTTTACCTCCTTTCTTCCATTTGGTTTAGCAGGTTTATGTTCATAAGCAAGTTTCAGAGGCTCTGCTGACATTCATTTTG